AGCTGACATGTCGGGCTCGAGCTCATCGTGTCAAGCTCAATGCGCAACGAGAAAGTCGCATTGATGCCGCTTACCGTTGCTTAGCACCAGGGACGACAGCCACTCTCATGAAGCATTGCCAGGAAATCGTTTCAGCAATGTAACCGTAATTGCTGCATGCATGCATCCAAGTGTACACTGCTCATGGTTCCACGGCCGTGTGCGGATCGTGGTGCTGATGATGGCTTCGAAGTAGTGAGAAATATGAGGCTTGACACACGTTGGGTGCCGCTAAAACCTCAAGCCGAGCCAACTGAGCAGGAGGCTGTCTATCTTGGGGTTTGTGCCGAGTGGACTGAGATTCCTGGGTGCCAAAAGGTTACCTTTCTGAGGGTGTTCTCCTGATTGGATTTGCCCAGGTGTTGTCGTCGTGCATGAGAAGCCATATGACCCTGCGAGCACTGACTACGATGTTCAGGCGGAGTTGCTGTGTCAGGGGCGGGCCGATGAGGGACCGAAGGGCCTGCATGATGTCCATCACTGCAGTACGATTGCAAGCAAAACTCGACAGTTTTGCATATCATCGTGGTCAGTCAGAATGAAGATGAAGGAAGAATTTCCTCCTTCGGTTTAGAGGTTAGTGCGGAAGTGAAGATTGTAGACATTCTAACCTCATCGCTCAACAGTTAAGCACCGAAACTAACCTCGGCAATTCCTACACTCTCTACGAGCCAAGCTCAGAAGTATAGATACTGATACACATGTGCAGGTTAATCCGAAGATACACGAAGATACCTAGAGTTCTGAACGTCCAGAACACCCAACCCCACATTTACCGGCCTACGGCCAAGACGCCAAAACCCCGAAGCAGTGTCTGTCCAACCCTCTCGTTTCGCGGACTGGTCTACATGATGGTCGTTGTTGCGTTCAGGCTAGAATGGGCTGATTGCTGCACTATCTACCTCGCAGACCCTCATGTAGACTTAACACGCAGACACAAGTTTGGAAGTTGAGAAAATTGGGAGCTCGAACTTAGACCTTACATGACCCTCTATAGTGGGGTCCTTCGCATAAGGAGCCCAACTAAGGGACCCCATGCGCGACACCTAGTTCGCAGATCCAGCCAGGTCTGTCATGACGAAATGCACAGTGCCGGGGCTGCCGATCGGCTGCGTCCGTGGCACCTCCAGCCCGAGGCCCGCGCCTTTGGGCGTTTGGCACTTGGGGTCTAGGCTTCAGAGTTCTGAGGGTCTAGGATCGTGCTGCTGTGCTTTCTGCTGGTCCAGGAATCACCAGCACGGACGAAGTCAAAGCTACAAGCCACAGAGGGAGGGAGAGAGAGAGAGAGAGAGAGAAAGAGCTTACTATGCCCTGATGAAGAAGAGAGAGCTTACTGACCACACACTATCCGAGCAAAAAACAAACCAGTTTGGCAAGGGTACTTATCATAATCTGCAAATGTACATGCCTAGTATCCCGATCTTGTAAAGCTGAACACCTGATACTGACCGTGGTAAACACAGAAAGATCGTGTCACGGTCAGTTGGAAAGAGCCGGCTTTTACACTCTGCCATGTTGCTCGCAACATCCGCTGAGCCCGGAACGTAAACGTCATTTTGTTGACCTGAAACCGTTAAACCTCAAAACAGCTGAATGCTCAATCCAAAGATTATCTCCGTCTTCCCGAAACCATCCGACCCTGAACCCCTGAAGCCTCACGCCCAAAGCCTGCCGCGGAAGAAAGGCCGAGCGCTGGCGAAGCGCCGTGCAGCAATGCCTCACAGAGGAGCAGAGGGTGAACAAAGGTGTCATATTGCGGTTTAGGCCGTTTTGTGCCGGCTTTAGCGTTACAGGCTGTCAGGTTATATTCGCAGGCCACAGCCCTAAGCCCCGAAAAAGCAGCCCAAAGCCCTGTGCCTAACCCGGCATTTATGCGGAATTAGCAATTGAAAATACTCAAGGCTAAAGATCTCTGCGACCCAAAACCCCAAACCCCAGTGCAGCCCGCGCTAGGCCCTACCGGCACTGTGGCCGCTGCTGGAGGCCTGTCAATAGATCTTGCCGTTCGGTGCCTGGGATTGACTCCATCACCGTAGGCACAGAGCTCGGCTCTCAGCATTGTTCCTCTTAGCAAACTGTTCGAGTCGCTGGCTCTCTCTATAGTGAGGATACTCCATATGCACGGGCGAAGGTGCAGCCTTATTGCCGTCAGAGGTCTTTGCTGACGAGCCTTGCACCGTGCGGTCTAAGGCAATCAGGATTCGTGAGGATGCATGCGCTGCTGAAAGCCTAGAACCTGTAGATGGACATATTTGATCTCTTGGCGTTCCTGCTGACCTGACTCGCAGGCAATGCCCCACAGCATGTCAGGGTTTCAGGGTTTTAGACTGGGGCAGCTGGGGTTCTTCGGTTGCCAAACTTGGAGCTTCTGTCGTAAAGGGCCCCCGGCTTCCCCCCCCCCCCCGAAACGGCATCGAGATCACCCGTCGATGTCGATGCCCGTCCCGGCTGTGCCCCCACCCCGCCTTGCCTACTCTTAACGACTTAACGAATGAGACGCTGTGGTATTCTTGAACCACACAAAGAATCTGCAACTCGATGCTTGTTCGTGAAGCCTGTTCTCACTTGCAGGCCGCGACTTTCTTCATTAAAAATACTTCACACGTGAATAGGTGGAGGAGGAGGCCCGATTGCGCTCATGACTGAACCATATATGCCTGCAGCAACCTCTCCAACTCGATGTGGGACATGTCGAATGGACGTACAGGCTTCACATGCTTGCAATCTGTGTGTGTGTGTTCTTGCGAATCAGTTTCAACTTTCTCCGTAGCCAAAACAGAACATGACCGTGGCTATGATTGCCAAACCCAGAGACAGACAGAGATCGACAGAGAAAGGGGGAGCGAGAGACCCATGCTCGAAGGATCAACGGCCCATCGGAGGGAGCAGCGACTGCCAAGCCTTGCTACTACTTGTATCTTCTTTCGAGAAAGGGTTGAGCCGGAAGCCTCAGACACAGTGTGCGCAAGGCCAGCAGCATGCAACGTTATGCCTTGGTGGGCGGCGATGCCCTCATCGAGCGATCAGGAGAGACGGTGCTTGCAGTCTAGGCCCACACTTAACCGCGTACATCTCAGAGTTTTGAGCTCCAAACCCTCAAAGCTTAAGCCAAAGTCACCCCAAACTTCGGGTTGAGGATCCCGAACCCGGACTGAACGTGCAGTAGGGATGTGGCAGATTCGGCAGGGCCCCAACCCATTCAGAGCATAAGCCGTTTAAATCCCGGGTCCCAAATTGCAAAGCCGCACACTCCAACAAACCTCACGTCGTTCTACTTCTGCTTGTGCTTGAAATGCTTGGGTCTCTTGGGAAGAGTTTGGCTTTGGGGTCAAGCCTACAGAGGGTTACCGGTACATGTCTGAGTGGCGCATACCGGCAAAAGCGCGTGCTTCACGACAATACGACATGGTCAGACATGGTCAAACAGGCAAGGTTCGTGACCTTGGTTTCGCGGCTTCTGTGTACGATCGCACAGATCTCCTGTCGAGCTGAAGGCCCAAAGAAAGGGGCCAACACTTCACATAGCTGAGCTCCAACCCTCGCCCCTACCCATCCTCTAACTCCGCAACCCTTTACGTCCTATAACCCCTCACTCTGAATCGCCTGCTTTGGCTCGCATAGGAGATGCCAAGCTGATCGAGTTCAACTTCTTTCCAAATCTAGGCACAGCTCCGGGTGATGGAGGTTGTAACTGCTGGGTAGCGAAGTACTTGACTCGAGGCCGCTACCTCTCAGACTCTCTCAATGCAGGGTTCATGGCCTGCAAGTGCACCCGTTTGCATAGGCTATAGTACCCATCGTGCACCTGCTTGGGGACTGAGGGCCAGAGGATTTCGAAGGTGTCTTGCCGGGGATTGTGGCTTTTGGCTTGCTGCCTTCCATTGTCTTCCGCCTTTGATCACAGTATCCTCCCCACTCACACCTAATGAAGATTCATGGAGAAACAGTCGGTGGTGAACAAAAGTTGACGGCGCAGGAAAAAACAAGTGCCGCAAGAACACAAAACTGAGTGTTCGGGGTATATGGCTTCGGACGAGCTCGTTGGAGTTTGTGCCTGCCGAAACCATGAGCTCCACGATGAAGAAGATGTTTCCTCACACAGCACTGGTGAGAAGGCGCAGCAGCTATAGCAGCAGGCGCAGCACCATCCCCAGCAGCAGCAGCAGCAGCAGCAGCAGCAGCAGCAGCGCAGTGCAGACAGTAGCCGACAGCAGCCAACAGGCACCACGAACCCATAAGCAACCTACACTAGATTCCCTAGATGCTTACAAGGTTTTTTGTATGGTGACATCCATAGCAGTGACACGCTGTGTTACCATTGAACGGAGGCTTAAGTGTGCTATCACCCTCCCCTCCCTCCCCCCAGGCTTCGAACCCAGATGTAAACGATGGTCGTGGCCATGCTTTTAAGGGCCAGCAGGGCGTCCCGGCAAAAAACGAGTCGGGAACAAAGGCCAATTCAAGAGTTCGATGTCGAGGGCACCACGTGAGAATAGCCACAACAAGACAACGAAAGCAACAGCAATTGAGAATGTTGTCATGGCTTGTTTGTTGCCCTAGACCCACCAAGCCCTAAACTCTGAACGGGCCAACTGTTTTGTCAGAAGGAGGGATTACTTTGTCACATCTCAAACGTTGGGAATGCAGTTGCCCGAGACCGCGCAGGTTTGGAGCTTTAGCGACCTTAGCTTGCAATCCCGGAAATCCACAGAACTCAAGAGACTCTTGAACACCTCAAAAGGACGTTTCTACCAGCAGGGTGTGCATGCTCACAACTTTTTCCTGACTAGATTTATTTGCCACCTGCTTCGGCTCTTCCAGCTCTGTGCTTTTGGCAAGCCTTGGACGTGCACACGCTTTGACTACCAGAATTGTGTCTGCACGCCTCGAGCCCAGAAGTCTTCTGCTTCTACGTGCTGGTGAACTCTCATTCGGAGTAGACTGACAGCACGGTGTGAACCATGGCGTCGACTGCAGACATGCGGCCGCTGGTGCTGTCCTCTACACCTCGAAAGGCATCAGACTGGGGCTTGCGAGTACTGCTACTGCTACGGTGATTGCTGCCCACGGCAACGATGGTGGCTGCAACTTTTGCTCCAACTGCTAGAGCCTGTCGCTGCACAATCAGCACATATGGAATTCCGGCACTAGCAGATCTATAAGTGCGACCAGTGCTATCAGTACTGGCAACACGAATGCAAGTAGTAGTCGTATTTGCAAGTGCGGTCGCAGTCCTAGCCGTCCGAGTAGTAGTAAGGCAGTAGTAGTCCTCGTAATACAGCAATGAAGTAGTAGTAGTAGTTGTTGTTGTTGTGGTGGTAGTAGTAGTCGTAGTGGTAGTAGTACCAGCAGCAGTAGCAGCAGCAGTAGCAGTAGCAGCAGTAGTAGTCGTAGTGGTAGGGGGAAAGGTGGAGGTATAGGTAGCAGTAGTGACCCGGTAGTGGTAGTGGTAGAAGTAGAAGTAGATTAGAAGTAGTAGTAGTAGTAGTAGTAGTACTAGTACTAGTACTAGTACCAGTACTAGTACTAGTACTAGTACTAGTACTAGTACTAGTACTAGTACTAGTCCTCGTAGTACTGGTAGTACTGGTAGTACTAGTAGTACTAGTAGTACTAGTAGTACTAGTAGTACTAGTAGTACTGGTAGTACTAGTAGTACTGGTAGTACAAGCAGTAGTAGAGTAGTAGTAGTAGTAGTAGTAGTAGTAGTAATGGTAGTAGTAGTAGTCGTCGTCGTAGTAGTAGTAGTAATAGTAGTAGTAATGGTGGTAGTAGTAGTAGTAGTAGTAGTAGTAATAGGAGTAGTAGTAGTAGTAGTAGCAGTAGTAGTAGTAGTAGTAGTAGTACTAGTCGTAGTAGTAGTAGTAGGAGCATGAGCAGGAGCAGGAGCAGGAGTAGGAGTAGGAGTAGGAGTAGTAGTAGTAGTAGTAGTAGTAGCAGCAGTAGTACGATTAGGAGTTGTAATGTGTCTTAAGGATAGGGCTGTGGCAGCAGCTGTGGTTGAGCAAGGAGCAGAGGCGGAAGGAGGAAGCCCAGATATGCATACATACTAAATTAGAGAGCGGGGGGCAGATGATAGACTGGTAGTTAGATGGGTATCTAGAGAGAGTGAGACTGCTAAAGGATAGATTGAGATACTGAGCGCGATAGAGCAACAGCCACAGCCAGAGATATAAATAGAGTTAGAAAGATAGTTACATCCATCGGTTCAGACATGCGTATGTAAAAAATTATATATGTGTGTATATAGGAGGTGTATGTCTGTCTGTCTGTCTGTCTGTCTGTCTGTCTGTCTGTCTGTCTGTCTGTCTGTCTGTCTGTCTGTCTGTCTGTCTGTCTGTGTCTGTCTGTATGTATGCATGCATGCATGCATGCATGCATGCATGCATGCATGCATGTATGTATGTGTGTGTATATATATATATATATGTATTTATTTTTATTTGTACCTTTATTTATTTATACAGTTTCATATATATATATATTTACATACCGGAACACTACTCTCGGAGTCTTGGCTTTCGAGGGCTCCGAAATCCTGGCCGTGAGTCTGCTGATACCTTCCATCGACCAATGCCCTATGGGCATACAAGAGCTGAAATCCCGCACATGCAGACCACATGGAGCCTCACAACGCTTTACAAAATTCATAGCTGATCAAGGTAACACACCGAAGCCTCAGCATACCCTCCGAAGCTTTTTGAAGCTGTATGAGCCAAAGCCTCAGCCTGGAGGTAGGAGACAACGACCTCGAGTCCAGCAGCACCTCGTCATATGGATTGGGTTTCTACAGGCTTTGTGAGTGATCCGACGCTCAGGGGCAAAAAGCGTTTAGCATAGCGTAAGGTTTGCGGCCCCGGGGTGCTTGGGATTTAGGAACGTTGGGTTTGAGGCCATGGTGGCTGTCTGCAAGGTATCTACCTGTATCTACGTGGTTGAAGGCGTTGCTCTGCGTTTGCCGGAAGCCCAAGCATGGATACCTCAATTTATTTGTTTAGGTTCAACTCCGAAGACCCCAAACGTGGGGAGTCAAATCAACCTGACCCCAAAACCCCTAGATGACCCGAAAGCCTCAAATCCGAGCCGAACCTGTAAACCCTGAAGCCTCACGCTAAAGCCGCACATCGTTCCGCCAGCTGCAGTTACCGTCTCAGGGTTGTTCTTCTGTGTACATGCTAATCCCGAAGCCCAGAACACAAGGCCGGCAGCAAGATGTAGAGTTTCAGTTAATGCAGCTTGCGACACAAATAAGTCTCAAACCTTCTGTCTGCAAGACAGGTGACGACCCAGCAATGGTGGAGCTGGAAGAGACAAATGCTCGGGTCCGACTGCTACAAAGCGCTTATGATGAAGCTGGGACGTCAATATCATTCCTGTACTGAAGAACTGTGCCATCAAAGTCTGAATGTAGCAGCTGCAGCAGCAGCACGAGGAGGGGAAGGAGCAGTAGCAGTAGCAGAAGCAGTAGCAACTAGCAGGTAGCAGGTAGCAAGCACGTAGCAGGAAGCAGGTAGCAGGTAGCAGGAGCAGTGGCAGTAGCAGATTCCTGGGGTTTCCGTTGCGCACAGGTTTCCATTCGGAGGTTCCGGATTTGAGCATAAGCGCTCTCAACAGAGAACTCTGAACTAGTTCTGTGCATCAAAACCCTGACGGTGCCGCCTTTTTGGTTTCTTCGTCGTCGATTTTACATTGTATACTGTCATGTCATGTTTACTTTGTGTGGTTATGGTAGCTGAGCAGTTACTAGAGCAGCTACAGAAGTCTAGAAAAGAAGATTCGGGAGCAGCGCGATAAGCATCAGTGCTGGAATGCTAGAAACCATCATGACAGGAATGAGTGTAGGGCCTGGGCGATAGGGGACGCATCGAAGGCTGGGCTCTTGGCCATGGCTCAATCCAGTGAACCTTGGCAAGAGAAGGATATTCCTTTTGGTCCTCAGATGTCAGAGCCAAGGAACGAGGGGGCTGCATGGGCTTGGTTTGGGGCTTCAGGATGTTGAGGGTAGCGTTTCGGTTTTCCGGCTCCGAATCTTTGCTCGAACAGCCTTCAGATGGCTCTCAGGGCTAATATGTGCTGTCAAGCGACATAACGCTTCCAGACTTTCAGCCGGCCAGATAGATCTCCGACCATCTATGCCGCGATCAGGTTTGAACCTGCAGAGCCTAGGTCTACAGGTCCTGCAACTGAAGCTGCTCACCCAGAAACGTCGAGTCTCCACACCTAACTTTCAGTAACCGGCAGCTTAACTCTGGCGCCAAGTGCAGCAGATGGCAGCAGCCCTAAACTCTCAGAGGAGCACAAAGGCAGAGATCGCGAAAGTGAGCGGTCGACGGTCTGCTGTCGCTGGTCCGGACACAGGGCTCGCTTTCTGAATCAAAATTCCAGTAAACAAAAGATATTCCAACACAGCCTAAGGACGATGACTATGTCGCCACGTTCGGATCGAACCAAGCCTGTGGCCGACTCATGTACCTCGACCTGCCATCGCAAAAGATAAGATGGTTTATGGCTTCGGTGTCAGCTTGTCCTACGTGAACAACGTCTTTCAGAAGCGTTCTACGGGAAGTGGTGGGTTTCTGAAGTTTCGTGATGCTTCAAAACAAAGTTGGCACTGCTTTTACATTACATGTATTGAAAACTATGCAGGATCTTTAGTGCGTCAAGGTTTTCGTGTTCGGTTTCGTGGTGGGGGCCTCGGGCAGGTGGCTGGGCTGTAGCAATTTGGGTCTTCAGCAGGTATGGGTTCAAATTGTATGCCGCACGGGATTGGTTTTGGCTTCACTTCGACGCCCTTCATGACTGGGAGACTATAGGATGTTCTTGGAATGGTTATTGGATTTGCAGGGCTTGGACTGCTAGAGGATCTTTCACTTGTTGAGGGCTTGAAGTACTATTACGCAGGATTGTTTTATACAACACTAAAGCTGTTATCACCAGTGTTTTTAATGTGAGTACTACCGTAGATGGAGGAATTCTTGCACCACCCAGATGCTGACTCATGACATCGACATCACCAAGACCCCACAGCCCCCATTTGACATTGATGGCATTATGGCATGTGGCTGGTGCAAAATATATTTGTCAGTGGAACCCCCGGCCCTCCCCAGGACTGGACATCAATGTTAGACAGGGGCAGGGGGTACGTGGTACCCTCGCTGGTGCACGAGTTACTGGATCATCAGTATTGCTCCCATTGTGAGTTGTAGTGTTTATCATAGTCCTTACAAGTACTGTTTACGGAACAAGGAAAGAGTCATAGGAATCAAGGCGAAACGTGCTAGTAGCAGCAGTGAGAATACGGTTGCGTACCAGGAATGCTATGTTCAGCGGCCCGCATGGCGACAGTAATCCTTGACTTTGAACTGACAGCTCGAAGTTGCAGCTGAAGTGTTGGCAACCAGAGTCGTCTCATCAATGCAAATGCTGATAGAAGTGCCAGGTGCATTCTGATATTCCTCACCAAAGCGTCAAGGTGTATTGCTCAAAGCACACGGTAGCATCGACATGAAGAACAGCTCCAACATCTGCAGCTTCCATAGCTCCAGTCGATGTGAATGAAGGATTCTCTTGTCCAGCTCGTGGTGTGTCTGCTTTCGACACTGTTGAGGAAAGTAGTGTGGCACGCAGCAGCATGTGGACCTCGGGATTGTCATACCTGGGGACACATGGTTGTGGACGTCTCTTTGGGGTATCGGCTTTGGGTGAGGCACTCTTCGATGTCATTTTCTCAACTTCAGGGGTTAAGGTTCAAGGTTTCCCAGAAGCTGCGGAGCAGGAACGGATTGGGCCTCTTCCTCATTGCAGCATTCTTGCAGGGGGCCACCCGGCCAGCTTCAGCTACTGGAAATGTCAGTTGCAGGCATTTTGAAATTAGGTCTCGAACCCGCAGCCAGCATAGCGGCTCGTGTCTCAGGGTTTAGGGATCCTTCTTCCCGAAGAGATGCTAGGCCCGGTTGAGCGTGGTTTGGAGTTTGTCTTGGATTCTCTTGGAGCTTTGCAATTTGGGTATCGGACTTGGCCACGCCAGGGATTTGGGTATTTGGGGCTGCTTCGCTGCAGGCCTAAAACCTGAGGTCGCTGGGATCTAAGACTTCTCCGGGGCTAGCGTAGCTGGAAATAAGAATCAGGAACGGCTTCCTCAGGATAGCTGGACTTAGAATTAGAAGTGGCTGCCTCATGGTTGACCAAGACCAGAGCCACTGGGCTTTACTCGGCACGCGCACACACACACATGCATGCACACGTTGATAGTGCCATCGCCATCGGCCATACTGCTTATGTCCTGTTCTGTACCATCACTCGTGCCTCAGCTTTGATGTTCGGAAGCGGCAACACCTGGACTCACAATCACAGGCGTTTTAAAGTAGGTTACGCACCCGCCAAGCCTTGGTGTCAAGCATGGACACACGCCGGAAGTAGGACTCAGCTTTGCAGGTACTGGTTGCATTGATTATCTTGTTCTCCAACGAGCGCATGCAGGCTCCTGACGGAATGGCTACTTGAAAGGCTTTCGGCGTGCGGAGCCCCTGTAACGCTTACAGCTCCACAACCCCCCCCCCCCCCCNNCCCCCCCCCCCCCCCCCCGTGTGTGCGTTCCCCCGGGTCGGCAAAAAACATGGATTCGTTAGACAAACCTGGCGTTACTTGTGTTCTGATTTTCTGGCACCCTTGAGCTCGAAATGGAGTAACTGGCGAATGTGCGTTCGTCTAACCGTTTAAACCGTGTTGGACATGTACACGCAGGGCTGACGATCGGTGTATCGGTTTTTGGCTTGGGGTAGGAAAAGTGTGAATGTAAATCCAGGTTTTCGTGGCTTGAAGAAGGGTGTGAAGCAGAGTAGAAGAGTCCGTAGGCAAGCTAGAAAGCCTGAAGCTTTGCATCTTCGAATCCCGAAGTCCCGGCACTCTTGAAGCACCGTGACGGGCACCAAACGTTGCTAGACCTTGCTTCGGTCCTCAATTGCAGGGCCCTTGTTTTAGAGCAGAGGTCTTGTATCCTGATTCCTTGGGCGATTCAGCGGGCGCGGCCTGCAAACTCATGACTACGGTGGTCAAACTAACGTTTTCGGAAGATTCGCAATGCTGTTTTTTATATAGTGATTGTGTGATCATGCCCATCTATCGCGTCCGTTTTGGTATTGGATGTTAGACACCTTGTCCTCTCATATCCGTGAGAGCAAAAAAGGCAGAGACTGCGCTTCTCAACCCCTTCCAGATTTGCCAACAAAAGCAATGTCCATGTTGGCATGAACAAAAGGTCCCAGGCACAAGACCACTCTACAAAACAAGAAACCCTGCACAAGGGTTAACCTACCCCAGCATTCTAGAGCACGCCATCTGAACCACTACTGTATGTTGCGCTGCTTTAGCAAGCCGTTTATGAAACCCCTTGGCATTGAAACAGCAACTCTGTAAAGCCCCGAGCACGACCCCCCTGTAGACCGTTGCTCCAGTCGCAGGATCCTTATGAGCATTATCGGTCTGCCTCCATGGCACAGCTTCTTCGGCAGGTCGGACTCTTCAGCGCGGCAGTCAAAGCAAGATGTTTTTGGTTTGGGCTTCAGCCTGGGGTTTGCTCCAAGGGTGTACTCGCCTCGGGAGTTTAAGAAATGCTTGGATTTTCGTGCCTTCGGTCGCGATGCTTGGGGATTTCACCAGCTTCGGGGGGCTTTGCGACTTTGCTTCGTCTGTCGCCCAGCTGGCAGATTAGGCTTGTGAGATCCGAGATACGCCAGCCGCCGCCTGATTCCAGTCCGAGCATAAGGTGAGGGGCCCTGAAGTCAAGCCCGGGACCTTAAGTCGCAGGCCATGGCCACCAACTCGAGTCTCCCGGACTCAGATCCAGTCTCCAAGCTCTGTCGCCCGGCCTCGCAAACTTCAGAAGAACATAACATGTGGCTTTTGAGGTTTCAGTTTTTGGAACTTTAGGTTGGGGGGTTTGGAATTTGGGGTTTATGAGATCTACGATGTCGTGTCCGGGAGTTTAAGGAGTTAAGGCCCTGGGGTTGTAGGGCTTTGAAGCTTGAGGTTTGGGGTTTTGACGTTTTGACGGTTGCGGAGTTTGGCTTTGGGGATTTTGTGGCTGAAGCGAGCCAGTCAGCCAGGCTGCTCTTCGGCAGATTCGACTGTGTATGGAATCCTTAAGCCCTGCACTTCTCTTGCCTTGGGGCCGTTTCGGGCTGCGCAGTTTTGTAGTTCTTGGATATTGATATGGGTACCCAGCGAAAAAATGCAGGCTCCAAAGGTTTCTGGCAACCCGATTTGGGTCCTTCAGGCCCAGTAGCGCACCAGAAGCCCGGAGATGGAAGCCCTACACCTTTGTGCCTCGTCCCTAAAGTTGATCCTTGACCTGCCGTCCATCGGCTATGGGATAAAGGATAAGAGAGGGCTAAAGCACTCCAGGTGCAAGGTCGGATTTGGCGTTCTCACGGATCTGAGGTAGCAGGCTGCTTGCGGCAGTTACATGATCTTTGATGGTCGTTCCGGGCTACTTACTACGTCCTAGGATTTCATTTGCGGCTTGGGCTGACGGGACACATGGGAGGAAACGGGATTTGCCGACATGCTGTGAGGTCGACATGGTATGTTTGATACATTATTAAGCTGTGGAGCCTTGCGTTTTTGGGCATTGGATATGTGGAACATCACTGAGTCGACACTGAGTCACTGAGGCTTAAGCGACCACAGTGTTCCGTGGTCTCAGCACTCGGCCTGCAATGCGTTCTTGCTTTTAGTTCTGACATGTTGCGGCGTGCACTAGCACCGAACACAAAAGGCATCTGGAAGCAAGGATTGAACGTGACACTTGCTGGACATGGCCATGCTTGCTCAAAGACTCAGTCGCAGATTCACAGATAGAACCGTTTTCAAGAGACCACAAGCCGTGGTGATTCAGGCAGTGGCGACTGCAGTTAGCCATGGCGATGGAGAGGACTGCAGCAGTAACAGCCTCATGCAAAAACACAGCTATCGGTAAGGCCTTGGTTCGTCAGAATGTCAGTACTCCGGTTGTCCAGCACTTGAGGCCATGGCCGATACGGACACGGACAAGGTTCCTCGGAACACCAGTATACGACACTGGCTTGCCCCGTTTCAGTTCAAGGCTTCAAGTTTCTGGGATTGGTGCCCCGAGGGGAGGCGGCTCTTTGCACGCTTGGAGCCAGTATTTCCAAAATGCATCGTTGATTGACGGGCTGCCATACGCCGGAGGGATGGAACATGTAGAGGAAAGTTCCTGCGACAAAGTTGCCTTACACTGGGGTGGCCATTCCAAGCAGGAGACGATGCAGCTCCTTATTGACAAGTGCCCTTAGGACGAAATCATCAACGACGGGTCCCAATATCCGTAGCATCAGATCTTCCGCTGTTTCACAACGTGGAATTTCGTAAATCCCGGGGTTCTATGTCATTGACGATTTGGAGACGAACTACTGGGCAGCAGGCCACGAGCTGTATGGCACTGTACGGCAACACTATTGGAAGGGAACGGGATCAGCAGCTTGGACGTGGACCTGACCTGTCGGCTGTGGCCAAGTTCAAGCAGTTCATCGACATCCCGATGCGCAATGACATTGGAGCCCATGGACCTCAGCATCATGAGTGGCAATCACCAGACTCATGCTCCATCGAGTGGGGCATGAACCGCAGGGCCTTCAACAAGTGCACCGCTGCCGAGGTGGCCAAAAGTCAATCAACCCGTTTGGCCAAAAGTCAATCAACCCGTTTGCGAGAAAGACATCATGAATGCGTGGGTAGAGCAGGCAACTGCTTCTCGATTTCCTATTGCTCGCACTCAGCTCAGCCCGCCTGTCCAGCATCCGGAGTGCCCAAAGCTTCGAATGCCTTGCGGCCGTGGCCGACACGGGCACGGACGACAATCGAAACACAGGTATCAAGACTACTACGACAAGCGGTTGCCCTGTTTCAGTCAGAGATCGGCGCCGAGAAGTGGAGCAGGGACCTCTTTGCCGCACATGTGGTGGCTAAGATGGGAAGTCGGGCGTCGGACTCGGCACACGGAGACTGCAACCATGGTGGCTTTCAGCGGAAACACTGCTTACAACTGTCTAAACTCCTAAGACAGGACGTTCCGAGTCCGAGACTCCAGAAGCCAATAGGCTGTGCCTGGACTGAATTCCCGACCGGTCTCGGGGACCATGGCCACCGGCTCCTCAACAATCCCATTTCCCATTCCGACTTCATTATCTACCCGGACCCCTGTAAGCCCTTAAATGCCTTAAAGTCATTGAAGGTTCAGGGCTCGGGTTAACCTGCAGCCTCACAGTCAACTCTTTGCAGCGCAGGGTCGGGGAGTCCTTAAGCCCGTCCCGCAAAGCCTAAGCCTAAAGTTCTAGCCCCGCTGTAAAGCCTACAGAGCCGTGAAATTTGACGCAACGTCAATGATAATTGACAATAAGCTCAATAAGCTTTCTGGAAGCCTGATCCCTGAACCCCAGCATCAGGAGTTGGAGCTGTATACGGCTCCTGACTTAGGTCTGGTTGGTTCGCAGTCTCTTAGGGTCTTTCAGGGTTTTAGGGGGCTGACGTGCCATTGCGCGGGAGTCGAGGTTGATGCTTGGTTTATGACTACTGTAGTGCGGACGGAATGCGGACGGCATCCGAGCTATAGACTCGAAGAATTATGGGTTATGCGGGTATGCATCGCTCATGAGCCGAGACGGTGACGGGGTTCAACTGCAGCCATATGCAAAGATTGAAGCCAGAAGGCATCTACTGACTGCAGAAGGCCGATCTGCTACGAATACGAGCCTCATGCTAGGTATGCCATTGGAAGCAAACAGTGCCCAAGGCGCCAGCAATTCGCACAGTCTATGGCATTCTAGTTCAATGCTCAACTGTCGAAGCATCGCACACTCAAGACGGTCAATGCTAGTCCCGATGCTACATGGTGGACTCTTGGCTCCCTCCGAGGTCTATGCTGGTTTTCCTGTGGCTCTGTCGGAGTAGCCCGCCGATCTTCACAAGCCTGTGGAGTCTGCACCATCTTTGCATGTGGGGTCCCGGGGTCGGAAAGGATTGCGCCCAGCCCCCAGCCTACCCGCGTCCACAGGGCCTTCTAGGCTGATGCCCATTCCGTAAGCTGAACAAACATTGTGACGCTTGAAGTCAGATAAGTCAGGAATCCAGTGCGTTGATCTTGGTCGATTCGCAAGTCGAACTTCAGGGTCAGGGTGTTGGGTTGGGTATAAGGTTGAAGATTCGAGCATGAGGAGTTGCAGAAGGTATATTATGGACTTGGTCCCTGGTTGATCTTGACTTCTGAGTCCGACTGTGTCTGAGCATCGCTCTTCGATGAAACCCGAATCAGATTCGTGGATTTCCAGGTTCATTCGATCTGCTCAAGTAAAGCTGGTGGAAAGCTCAGAAGCCTTCACATGAAACCCTCAGGCCGTGGTCCTGTCAAACACAGAGCACAAGACCCCGTAAACAAAAAGCATAGCGGTGTTCCTTCAGTCCTCACCCACAAACAGGTTGTACTGCAAGTCAGAAACGGTCCAGATGCAAGGTACTTGATTGCATACATGCCGAGACCAAAGGGCCAGTGCATTGTTTCCGGCGCATCCAGTGCCGATGCTTTGGCGAGAATTTATGCCCAGGCTGTAACCGGCTAGAAGTGTCCTGTATTTCCTATTGCGTTTCTTGCACAACGGGTTGGTTTTTCAGACGTTTCCCTATTCACGGCCTTGGATTGCCGCTTCGTCATGGGGCAAGTGGTCCTTTGGTCTTGGGGTTTGGTGTGCACGCGCAGCATGTCTGAACTAGCCCAAGTAGTTATGCAAAGTTTCAATATCTAGCAGCTAGCGCTTCAATGCTCCAAGACCTACTGCTGACCTAGAATAATTAAGCGTCCGCGACTAAAGGCAGCCAGCTGACGGCTCTTCACAAGTGAATTGGGACCTGCTTGCAGAACATCTCCCAGAAGCATTGTGTTGCCCCAGAATTGCGACATTACGACATGGAAGCAGGGAGTTTTAGATTGTGGAGGCGATGTTCCTGGCCCATCTGCATGTCCACCCGCGGTGAGTATTGAACGGCCCATGATCTACCGGTGTGGGTGGCTGTGCTGCTTTGTGTTTTGCAGTCACGGACTTGGGGTGCCGGTAGTGCGTGGCACTGGTGGACTGTGTGGGGATTCAGCCGCCCCGAAACGCCCTGCGACCTTTCTGCCCTTGACAGGGCGGGAGGGAGGTGGTTGCTGTGGGACGGTGTTGCGATCCCTCGGCTACTGTGCTTGGGACGGCTGCAGTTCTCACACCAGACGCCAGGAATTTCGGAAGAAGCCCATAAAAGGCTTCGTGCATTTGGCCCAGCTGGTGTCACTCGAGGTCTCATGCTTGGTGGCAGTCTGATCACAACCCTGGGCCCGCCAGGGTTTCCTTGAGCTTGAACTTGAAATTATGCAAGGTGTTGCAATTAAAGGGAGACCTAGACCGTCTACACACCAAAAAAACCTTGGACGTAACGGAAAGCTCATAGCCGGAGCCCTTACATCCAGAAGTCTTTACCGCCAGTTTCAATCAGGGGGAAATCCGCAGAGTGTAGAGCTCCTGTTCGCTTCACGCAGCGTTTCGGGCTGCAACTCCGATGTCAGAGCCGACACTGAGCCTCATTTTGCAGAGTCTGGCACCAGGAAAGCTGCGGCTAAAACCCGCCCCTGGAATTTAGAATTTCGCGGCCCCGCAGGCGTCACAAGGGAGTCTAAGCAGGCTGCGATTTGGTTTGGGTTTCAGGGCAGCGTCCCTCAGAGAGACTCGGGAGTGTGCCTGTCGAGGAGATCGTCGCACTGCCTTTGAAGACGAAACTGTGGATGGTTTTTGCGATCAAGATCCCAACCATTATCATTGAGACTGCCCTCCTTATTGCTGGAATGACCCTTGGCGACACATGGGACTCTGGAGTTCAAGCCTTCAGCCCTCAACCCTAAACCTGCACCCGACATCGGAAGGGAGACATGCTGTCGGAGTGTTCTAGTCATGGTGGCCTCTGGCCCAAACAACCTGGTACCTCAGTGCGCCATGCTTGTATCTTACGATGTGGGGCCTGCAATTTCAGGCCGTACAGAAGAGCTTGCAGGCCTCTGGATCCAACCAAGCTTGGCAAATTCCATCGACTGTTGCACATCCCCAAAAGCCGCACTGATCTGCCAACCTAGGCTTCGGTTTCAGTTGCACCAAGCCACGATAAGCGTTCCTAACGCAGACCTCGACCCGAAACCTGACACCCGGCTTGCCGCAACTTCGTGTGACTGCGATAGCATGTAACCCAAGGAAGTTCCTCATGCTCCTCCGATGCAATTCGAGGGCAGCTCGTGCCAGCGAGCCCAGCGAAGTGTGTTTGAGGTAGTCTTTCCTGTCTGTTTTTTGTCATCCTCGTGCATGGGACCTCGATTACATTCAATTACGAGTTTAACAATGCCATAAGTCCTGACTTGAAATCTGACATTTGTGCAATATACGTGCCGATGCAAAATCTTCTGGTGCTAAGCGTGTTGCATTTATAAAACCAGATCGATTTCAACTAGTCCTGTCAATGTTCCAATACCTAAGGGTACACCATAGCACGTGAAGTACCATCCGCTGAAACTGTGCTTGACTTTTCAGGAAGTCACCTTGAAAATTCAAGACCGTTACGGCCATGAGCCCGTCATATTGCACGTGCAAAACCCTCAAGTTGAAGTCTGCAAGGTACTGCAATGCTTTGGGTCCGCTGATCATGAAAGCATTGGGCATGGCGTTTCTTGGCGCAAGCTCCCTGCATGTTCCGGGCAGAGATTCCGGGTCCAGGCTGGACGAAATTTCGAGAAGCCCTCCAGTTTCGAAGTTGCAGAGGTCTTGAGCATGGGAGCTTCATGCTTTGGGATGCGCATGAACCTACCGTTCCTGAGACCGTTCAAGTATTCAAAATTCAGTCAAGAGCTCCTTAATCTCAACGCAGGCATGCTTGGTATGCGCTGAAGGGCATCGGGCATTTTGGCTCCTGGGATCTAGGCTTCCCTCATTTCACAATTTTGGCGGTTTCCGGGGCCTGCAGACTGAACATCTTATTCACCAGATTGACACCTTAGGTTGCAACTGCGGAGTGCTGTTTTGGCACAAAGGCTTTCCAGTCGGAAGGTGTCCAGGCCCATCTGTCACCGATTTGCTTCAGTGATTCCTCTTCAACTAAGCCAAGGTTGCGAACATCCCTGTGTGGTTCAATCTAGGGGATCAAAATCGAACGCTTTCTACCCACAAGCAGAGGTACATCAAGACAATCCCCGACATTGTCTTTGGCGGGCTTTCCTCAAAGCCCTTCCAGGCACAGCGGTAAGACGGAGGGGCCCCTTTGGTAATTATAGCAGGAGTAGTAGCAGGAGTAATACGAGTAGAAACCTTTTCGTCGTAGTGAGAGTCGGAGTAGGAGTAGGTTTAGGACCAGTACGCGTACGAGCAACAGGATTTGTAGGAGCAGACATAGGACAGGAGTGGGCATCTAGGTCCAAGTACCTTGTAGGTACGATATGCTGGTCGTTGGTGTGCGGGGCTTCCCTTGTTGGCGTTCATGAACTTTTTGAAGGATGGAGTTTTGGCTTCTTGTTCCAGCACGTACCAAGACCTGTTTTACATGGCACTCCGGGCTCGCACGTCTTCTTTCTTTCGGTTCACATCAGCGTCCGTTCCAACGCACTGCCCTGCCACAATTGATTGCCACATGGGTTGTTCTGGTGGATGGTGAGCAGAACAAGCCAACACGCTGGCATGCCCTTGTCATGTGCACAGCCAGTGCCTGGCACTGTCAACTTTCTACCATTAGAAAAGCAATGTTGTGGGAAATGTCTTCAAGTGTGTTCCTGAACTAAACGGCAGGCCGAAGTGGACAAAACTTCTTTGGTGGCTCGAGTACCTTTTCTGCCGGCCTGGGACACTTGGGACCCTTGGCCAAGATCGTGACCTGATACCCAAGAGCCTATAGTGCAGTCGATGTGGTTTACAATTAAAGGTTCCGGGTTCGGGTTTAGGGACGAAGCTTTCGCGGAAAGCGAAAGTGCGCAGGCAGACAACAGCTGCGGGTCGAAACTCGGAGCCTTGCATCTTCGACCTACAATCACAGATCCTGCGCCCAATGCTTCAGTCCTAGCATCTCTTAACATGCAGCCGAAACTTCCGGAGTACCGGACAGTGATAAGATCCAGATTTTGGGGCTTGGGCGTGTCATGACCGAACCATTTTGTTTGCATTGACCGTCATAGCATGTCATAGCCGTTTGGATTCAGGTTTCTGGCGCCGCGAAAATTGTGTTGCATGTGAGCTGCCTGGCTGCAGTGGCCAGGCTATCAGGTAAATGGGGCAAAGACTGCAGCTCATGCTCCAGACGTTTCGAGCAAGCCTTCGTACCATGTCATCGTAAGAAAAGGAAGAAGAAGCTGCAGAAAAACCATTGTAGATATGCATCACGAAGTCACGTTTGAGATCTTTCCTCTAGCGTTACTGGTGTTTTGCCTCTAGACTTGCAGTGCTCAAGTTTGCCTAGCCGTTCTAGCCACCAAACCCTGTACACTCCCCATGATTGTGAGTGTTTGCGCTGACAGCCCTTTGGGCCGAAGGCTAGGTTGACTTCCTCAACGACACTTCTGCAAGCCTCTAGGCCCCGTACTTACGGTCTTTTGAACTATTAAAGCATGTACGATATGAGCAGCACTCTTCGGTTCTTTGTCCCAAAAGGTCGCACTCCTACAGCCTGAACCGTCAAAGCTGGAACCTCGTAGGTCTTGCCCTTTGGTACTGCCGCGTGTACCATGGCGCACTGCAAGACTTTCGGATGGCTTGCTTTCAGTACAAGCAGCCCGACCAAGGTTTCATGTAAGCCGTGTCTTCTGTAGTTCTTGATATTTCTTGCTGACTTTGGCCCAAGATGCTATCTTTAAAGCGTGAGTTCGAGGTTAGCTCAGTCGGCCTCCAGGACATAAGACTGGCATGTTCCAACCTGTACGGATATGCGGCAGAGAAGAGCCTGCCTGGTTGAGGGGCTTTGGCTCCTTTCGGGGGATGGAGGTTGGGGTGCAGCATTAGGTCAACAGGCTTGGAGTGGGGTTAAGGCTTTGAGCTGCCGACTGTTTGGATAAAGGGTTGGCATGTTGTGCAGGCGTCTCCAGTGAAAGATTTGCTGTAGGTTGTGGTTGTCATTGTCGGTCGTTGAAGTCAGGGATTCTTGGGTGGAAAGGGCTTCTGGAGGTGTCTTAAACAGAAGTTCGCACACTTCGTGCAATCTAGAGCTTCCCGAAACCATTGGCCGAAACCGTAAACCCTCATCACGTAAACCCTCATCAGATTGTAGGGCATGATGCTGGATATGATGCTCATTGGCATATTGGCCTCATGAGTTTGGAAGCTTGTGCATCCACAAATCCCCATCTCCGAGGTATCAGTTTGTGTTTCCTACTTGCCACTGCGGCCTATCATTCTTTGGCATGCGTCTGGCCAACTGATTGAGATTCTCGCGATGCTGCGTAGGATTCAGTATTGGGCAGACATGGCTCGGTTTAGGGCAGCCCAAGCAGCAGAGGCTTCTTTCGGCTGGAAGGGGTGCATCGGGTCGGACGGTACAGAGGAGTTCCTCAGCCTTGGGCCAAAGCCGCCCAGGAGGGGATGGGGTGAGACGGTGGGACTCCTAGCTGAACAGCCAGAATTGGGAGTACGCTCCTTTTGCATGTTTCAACATCTCGACTCTTCGGCCTGCGTGAAACGATTGCTTCGAAGAAAAGCTAGGTGGATTTCGCAAGCAACGGCCAATCCAGAAATCTCGGTTCCCGACTGCCGTTCTCCTGAAGCTTCTGCAACAGTAGCAGCAATGCTCCACACCTGAACCCTGCACACGATGGGTGGGGTTTGCCATACGCCCGACATGCATCTAGAAGCTTAAGCGCCAGACCCGGAAGCCCCCCGAAGCCTCCGGGTCTCGGATCGCTCCAAGCCCTGGTCCACGAAATGCTCTTCGCGGCTTTCCTCGTGGATTTTTGGGCTTCTCATGCTTCTCGCTGAGTCCGCAACCCGAAGCCACAAACCTGAGCTCCCAAACTCGAAGCGTCATGCCTTCAGGGGGTGGTGCTTGTGATGAAGCATTTGGGTCTGCAAGTCTGTCGAATTCCCCGTTTCCGAACGGACCCTGCCACGCCAGAAGCCGCGAATTTACTTCCCTACTTCTCTGCCTCAGAGCCTGCCTGAAGCGTAGAGTTGAGTCTTCAGCTGACTGGTTGGAGGAATTTGCAGTTTGGAGTTTGGGATATTGGGTTATGGAGATCGTTGTTTAAGATTCACGTTTTGGCTTGCATGGCCACTTTCAGGGACAAGTGTGTCGGCTCCAAGACTGAGCAACTGCAAGCATAGGAGAGCTCCCCCAGTCTTACCGTGTACTCAACGTGGCTTCCGGAACACAATAGCTGCATGGAACCCCGGCATTGTGTCGTTACATGATTACTACAAGCTCCTGCATGATCAACTTCAAATCTGCATCCGGCAGGCTCGCGCAATGGTGCCCTCAACTCCTTGGTGAAGCAGCCGATGCTGCTGCATCCTGAGCCGGTTACATGCAAGCTCTGAACCTGAAACCTAAACTGAATCCTTGAACAGGAGTTTCTAACATCCGAGGCCTTTCAAGCATGAGATAGCCAGCAATCTGCACAATCGTTGCCTGTGTCTAATTCGTCGAACTCCTAGGCGGAAGCGGGTTCGAAGCCGCCTGTGCAGAATAGTGAGGATTTAGATGTATGGTTGGTGACCTGGCACATCCAGCGTGCTTCTTGCAGTGCAGTTCCTTTTATTGCGGTCAGCATCCGTCCAGCATTCGATGTTCATAATTTCTGCTTCGGAATGAAGGATGTAATGCTGATGCCAACCGCTGGTTAGGTGGAGGGTTTCAAAGATGTCGGACTTATCTTCCCTCCATGGAGGTAAATCTGTGAGGTTTTCCTGCAAAAACCTGTAGGGATGTTCTGCTGCCAAGAATGGCCTGGCTGGGCGCTGCATCACAGAATCCACATCTCGTCCTGCTTCTCTGTCCTTCTCCTCCTCCTCCTTCTCGTCCTCATCATCATCACACACTTGCTTATATATTCTTATATGCAGTTGTTATGTGTGTGTGTGTATATGTGGTGTTTGTGTGTATATATACACACACACGCTATATTGGTTCATTTGCTCGTCTATTTGCTGAGCCGCAAAATGCAGAGCACGATTCCTGATGATCACCTTCCGGCCACCAATCATGCTCTCAGATCCTTTTCTTTCTCAGCTTCGTAGCTGAGTAGGTAACCTTCGACTTTTTTGTGTTTCGCAACCTTATCAAGAAATAAAAGACACAACTTTTCGCACCAATGTGGGCCAGAGGACTGTGCAGCTTGGACGCCGTTCCATCAGTGCTCACATGCAAGTACGATGCCCGCAACGTGAAGTGCTAACATCTATGTGGCCAGTGCTCGATCCTCTCCTCCCGGACGGTTCCCTAAATAGTTTGAACCAGAACTGTTCATCTCGAAAGTTGGTTGCCCCGTCTGTCCTCCTGCATGTTGATTCACATGGGTGCTACGGCTGAAAGTACACTTATTCGACTGGGGAACATGGGTTTAGATTTTTTAAAGCAGCCCCACATATGACGTCAAGCTCTGCACCGGAACTACGGAATTCGCCGACACCAAGGCGCGACGTCCTGAGCCTGGTGCTGCTCGGCCGGACCCCACCAGATCTCGTGGAGATTGCTGCGCTGGAAAACATTGCGCAGCCTTGGGAGCTATGCATGGTCCTACTTGCACAAAATCCCTAGCTGCATCACCAGCAGGCGACGAGCCCTCCAAGCCAGCAGGGACAGCACGAGTCGGGCGGGTGGGCACGAACTGTATGCAAACGGCATGCTCTCTTCAGTCTTCTCGAAAGCAGAGGTCCGAAGCCGTCTTAGCATCTCAAGCACTTGGGACCGATTCTGCGGATGTCAGTCTTAATGCATACATAGTGTCATAGCATAATATCGTCGTACCGTGTTGCGCTCTGTGTCGCAAGCAATCTGCAGCATTGTGTACACGGCACTTGACAAAATTGAACTGCTTCTCGCTGAGCTTGGCCATTGCCTTGTCATGCGAATGGCCAGCTACCACAAAGCGGACGAGGATTCCGAGAGAGACGTCCCACACAGAGATGCAGAACGTGGGTACTTTGAAGTTGCGGAAACAGAGAAGTTCAGCGTGGCCCTCGAAAGCACGACACAAGGGGCGGCCATGCTTGCCGTTGCACAGTGGAGCGATGCAGAGTATGCGTCAAAGTACGGCCAGAAGCAGGCGGCAACAGCTTGCGAAGTCGATGCTTCCGACGGTTCAGGGCTAAGATATGTCGGACAGAGTTCCCGCGGGTTGCTGGTGCAATGCGCTTTTTGAGGTAGAGGATGCTGAGGAGGGGACTCCGGTCGTGGCATCATCAGATCTGAGCCATAACTAAGCAACAAGAATCCGTGCAGGCGATTGGCCGCCTGATCAACGGCCTCGGGCTCTTTACAATCTCCTTTGTGCTGCAGGCGCTGTTAATTGCTTTGCTGCTATTCTTCTCCACGCAGCGAATGCAAGATCCATATCAGAAACCAGGCTGCACTTCGATATTTTGGGCGTTTGCCTTGATGGCTGATGGTTCATGATGGTTCCAAACTGGTGGTGCTGGTGAACGTACAGCCCCGGCACCACTGACGGGGTTGAGTGTGTCAGCTTTTCTCGATCAAAGCCAAGTCCCGGCTGTCCTGCCGCCTGAAGGTTCGAAGAAACGACTGCGATGGCTGAATCTCTTCGAAAGGCGCAGGAGTCGAACACTACGCTGCCGGAGTCCTGGCAGCTTGGGGTTTCCAGGCAGGGTTTACAGGGAAGTTTAAGACGGTAGTAAGCAGGTCTTGCGGGTCCCAGAACCTATGAATTGGCGAGGCTTAGATCCCTCGAGTTTTGGGGTGACCGGGTGTGGGACCGGTCATGGCGGCGAAATGGTGTGTCACGCCGTACTGGTACGGGTTTTATGCTCACGGCTAAGTTCCAAGGTCGATGCTAATTTCTCGGGTTTGGGTTGTTGGCAGATCGCAGGCCAGGGTTCACGCTGGTTCGCACCATTTGGTCTGGGCGTGGCTTTCATCCATGGCTTCGCATGGACATTGGAGCGTTCAAGCTAGATTGATCATACTTTAGCTCGGGCTACTCTTCATCATGGTTCCGTGGTGCGTCTTCTTACCTCCTGTTGGAAGGGTTTAGGGTCGAAGGGTCCTCCATCGCAGGCTTGAGCGTTGACGGGATGTAGACCCCAGTTGACCTCCAACTCGATCCACACCCTTTTTCCGTCGAGGAAACGGATCGGGTTCTCGGGCTATGCCTTCGAGACCACAGTGTGCCATACTCCCAGTCTCGAGGCAGCTGTTGGAATATTCTCCTTTCATAGCTGCCATTCTGACTGTGTTGTAATCTCTAGAACAGATTGATCGTCATTGCACTCTCAGGGTTTGGGGGCAGAGTGTTGGTTTCCGGATGTTTGCTTTGGCGTGAACACTTGCCGTGAGTCGTGTAGGACGATGCAGAGAATCTGCATGAAATCATAATATGCCCGGACATGAGGCAAAGTGTGACTTTTATGAGCTTCCCTGCAGCTGGTCCGTCAAACCTTGTAACCCAGCCACCATGCTCATCCAGACCGACAGCCGAGGTCCGTGGTAGTCTTCTTATGGCTCTGCAAGATCAGTCCGGACATCATTTTCAATTTGTGGACAATTGTTTTGCTTGCTAGCCTTCCAAAGTTTGACGGCTCCGCTCTCCAGTTCACCGACGCCAACATCCACATCGTCAGGCAGCGAAATCCGAAATCCTCTTTATCTCTGCATGGCTTCAAGCTAAGTGAAGATGCAATTCGCGCGCCTGTTCTCTTACCGTCGCAGTTAAAACCGCTGTCTAGCCAGAAGTAGAGGTTGTTTGTCATTCTAGGCGTTACACTATACAACTTGGCTTGGTATGCAGCTATGAGAGGCTGTCAGAGACGACATGGAGGAGTTGCCGTTTGGGGCATGAGCTTCGGGGCCAGGGGGGTGGAAGTCCTGTTTCATTTCTAGATCCCCAGACATCCGATCAGAAGGTACAGGTAATTGTTTGTCTTTGCGTTTTAGGGTTGAGGTAGCCGCTTGGTGGATGCACGCCGTGTCGGAAGTGAAAGGGATGAGGAGCCCCCATGAGGGTCGGTCATTCTCTTAGGAGTCTTGAGCTGACAGTTCAGGAATCCCCACTTCCAATTCTGTCCTGATGGGCGATGTCCCACTTGAAAAGGCTGCCCCGTGGTGCGAAATGGATGTTGATTCTATTCGTGAAGATCCCTATGCTCCTCGTCCAGCTCGCCTTGGCCAAGACCGGAATGACCTTTCTTATGCCCCGTGCCACAGCATTAGGGGACGGTGAGGCTGATGGAGCGCATTTGTACCTCGTGGGGATTTGGAGCGTGCCGGTGCAGGGATTTCGAAAGGTGAGCCTCAAGGGTTGGAATGCTTGCCAGTCAACTACTATCCTAAATCATGGTATCCACTTCTGGGGTCCTTCGAGCCCACGGGACTACTTCTTCTCAATCCTAACTCCACCCCGAACCATAGCCTGCAGGTTGTTGAACCTATGGGCCTTCATTTCTTTAGCCGAGGAGGATCAGAGACATCACGAGAGTGTGCTGACGTCTAGTTTAGGATTGAGTCAAACCGTCTGCCCTGAAACCTGCTACCCTGAAAGGTAAAGCCCCTGCGTAACTTCTGGAGCCCGGAGCCCACATGTGAAACCCCGTCTGCGAGGTATTGTTCAGCCCTCGGAATATTGATTATGAAAGCCTTGGCCTTGTCCTATGTCTGCACAGTCCCAAGCGTGGTCTTTGCCGGATTGGCATCGAAAGCTTTGGCCAATGAGGCAGAGTCGGGTTTTGAATTGAAGATTCTGTAGCCCAGCTTCGGAGCCAAGCCGCAGCTCTCAACCCGAAGCACAAGCACCACGAACAAATACAAGCTAGTTGACGAGCAAGCAAGACTGTATGGCTGCATGCATGTGCATGCACCGCCGTCCCCCACCTTCTCTGGCGCTCTGTCTCTCTCAACTGCTTCGAGATGTTTCTGATTCCCTCTTGGTCTGTCTTGTTCCCCCTCCCTCTCTCTCTCTATGATGTAGGTGTTCTACGGACGTATGTTTTCATGCATGCATGCACGACTGTTTTTTTAGCACTTCTGCAACCGTTGCAAGTTTTGACCTCGCATTTGCAGTGACTGACCGTTTAGAAGACGGAGGCTCATTGGGTTCAAGCAAATGAGTCCATTTTCCGAGGGCTTGCGCTAGCACTTCGCGAGTGTGCGCCTTCCTGACAAAAGGCTCAACAATGTCATGTTGTGTTTTTGCTTACCGTCTTGAAAGCTGGCCATTGCAAACTCCGTGGAACTTCTTGGCATACTTCAGACGCGATCGATCTTTCACTGTTTGGAGATCTTCGCTGGCATTACATGCTCTTCTGCATGCATATAATGGTGTTTATGCATCTGCATAATGACACATACATGCCGGGAGCAGACACACTGAAGTAACACATGCACGGCATGAGCATGTGTCTGTGCGCGTGTTTGCCCCAATCACGTCTTTTGCTATGTTTTTTGGGGTTCAGTGGTTTGCACAAGTATATGCTGGAATATATGTTCATTTGCGTATCATATGGAATTTTGAAGTCATGTGAATGAAGAATTGTAGGCCGCGGACGGAACTACTGAGATGCTGCATATTCTCAGCATGATTATTGTTGTTATTGTTCCGAATAGTAAGAGTTGCCAAACTAGCACTTATTCTTTTGGTGGATGTAGATGCGGTTTACTTAAACAGAATTACTGGTGGAATAGTCTTCTAGGCCAACTCCCTGCAGAAGGTTTCCACGGCACAAAACGCCGCAACACAACACATCGGAAAAGCTCAGGTCTTGGACTAGAGTTACAAGACACGACACCCTTGAGATTCCCCGCTCCCGACCCTGAACCAGAAGCAATCGAGCCCCTGAAGGTGGGCAAAGCCAAACTGACCGGAGACTCGCCTGCCAATGGATTGGGTCTGGGGCTGTAAATTTAGGATTTTCTCTTGTTTCCTCAAAACCAAGACCATGATGTTCATGACCATGACCAAGCCTATCATGGCTCATCAGGTGTCAGGTTGCATATGTGTGAGTGTATCAACTTCTTCGTGCCGGCACACGAAGCACAACCTACCTACCACGATTTAGAGGTCAGGTTTGAAGACCAACAGCAGACAGCAGACGACCGCGACAATGCATAATTCAGCACAGTCGCCGTTACCCTGAGTCAGTACTTGCCCGGCAGTCAGGAACCATCATGAAAACGGCTTTCTGGGATGCTTGGCTGTCTGGCATCATCAAGATTGCTCTACATGTCGCTGTGGCAGTTTGGTATTGCCGGCTTTTACATGCCGGGCTCACCGCCTTCAGATGGGAGTGCTTCTTCTACAAGTGCTCCGGTCGTCGAATTAGTGTCAAATCTGCAGTATGAAACTCTGCAGTAACAGCACCGTTTCTAGAGCAGTAATTCCAGAAGAGCCCGACATGCAGGGGTCACATGAAGGGAAGAGCGCATGAAGCAGGAAAACCAGGACATTGAGAAAGTAGTTGTTGGTCTTTGGGCGCAGACTCTGCGCGATGTTGTGTTTAGAGCTGGGGGTTTCGGAGCTGCAGGCCTGCTGCCTCGACTCTCGAATCGCAAAGCTGATCAAAAACCACTCATTATGTCTGAAGGCGATT